ATGAGGTAGTTGTAAAATGATGAGGTGGTAGAGAAATAGGTATATAAGGAGAGGAAGGAGCGATCAAATATTCTTTCTTCATCGCAACAACATCATTCATCAGTCTTCACTTGATATCTATCCCACTCAACAAGCAACGATCAAAAATTCAAATCACCCTTCAAATAAATCAAAAATTCCAATTCACCAACGTCCACAAATCACTATGCGTTTCACACAAGCTGCTTCTGCCATTTTGGCAACTCTTGCTTTCCCCTCTACAGCCTTCGCTGGTGTCCTAAAGATAACTGATTCGTTCTGTCCCAGCTCTGCAGGCTGTGTTTGGCAAAACCCAGCTTCCTGGCCAGGTGTTTTCGAGTGCAGCTGCAATCTTGCTTCTCCAGATGGAAAATCTGTGTATGGATATCTACTTTCCTAACTCACTTGAGTTCAAATCCACACCAAAACAAAAAAACAAACTAACAAATTGATCAGACTTCTCCTCCAAGGCTACACCGACTGGAACTACGAAGGTTTCGTTTACAACGGTTACTCCACTGTCGGCGTCTGCAACAATATGCCAGATCTCTTCAACAAGAATACCGAATCAATGAACATTAATGTTGACAATACACCCGCTTGTTGGCTCTACACTCAAAAGGATGTAAGATTCCCCTTACACTCTAATACCCATTGACCATACTTCATCTGAAATCTAAAACAAGTACTGACCAAGATACAATAGTGCGTCGGCGACTACGCAATCATCGATGACAAGGGTATCGCAGAATTGCAAGGCTACTACGACAAAGGGGTCCAAAGTTGGATTTGCGATCCTTTGACTTCTTAATCTCTCTTCTCGCTTTTTTCCCCACCCGGCGATTACGATTATATGCACGATACGGTAGAGAGACGGATAGAAGTTTTCTAGAGCTTGATGGATGGGCATCGACTGGTATTTGAGCGATCCAGAGCCGGCGATAATGGGTTGGAATGATTGGAGTTTGATGGATGGGAATGGGAATGGGAGGATCTCTTTTTCATTCTAATCTTCTTTGTCGGACTTCATGTTTTTGGAGCGATGAGTGGGATGGGTTGAGTTTTCTTTGGTTTGGAAGAATGGTGTGTGGTTTTGGAGATGATTTAGGAGGAAACTTTCGAATACTTCTTCTCGGGGGAATCCAACATTCTCGCCCTTTATTTTAATTATTTCGACTTTCATTGTATATCGGTAGGTATTGTTAGTTGGTTGGTGTTAGGTACCGAGTTATAATATTTATTGAAGTTACTTCATCTCTTTAGGCTTTAGCTGCCGTGGATTTTCATTTGCTCCTTTGTGCTTTTACTGTAATCTCGTTCTAAGATGTCTAATTCCTTCCGACTAATTAACCATCCAAGCAGTTACAAATCCTTCCCATAAGCTACAGAAAGATTACCTACCCACCAACAAGCCAGCTCAAACTGTATACCTAAACTCCGGATGTCTATGCCCCAACATCTCGGTATTCCCCTCCAACAACCTCCCATCCCTCTCCCCTCGTTCCCGCTTCCCATTCTCCCACTTGCAATACCCCATCGTGATACTCGTCACGACCAAGCATAAGCCCAGCATACCAAGATTGATGGCGTGGCCGGTGATATAGCGCGGGGCGTCGGCGGCGATGTAGGTGAATGTTGCGATGAAGGCGGCGATATTGGCGAGGCCGATTTGGAGACCGGAGGCTGAGGCTCGTACGTAGTGGGGGGAGGTGTTGTTTGCTAGCCAGCCTTGAGGGGGGGGGAGGGGGTTAGTTTGGGGGGTTGTTGATAAGAGTTTTTTCTTTCATTCTGTTGGAATTGGGAAGAGAGGACGAGAGGGAGAAAAGGGGAAGCAGAGAAGTTGAAAGGAAAAGAAGAATAAAGAAAAGTAAAAGTAAACAGTACACACCCATAACAACAGGCGGACACGCAAAACTCCCCGCGGCAACCAGGAATGTACCGCCATATTGGACGTGAGGTCTCGAGGTTGCGATGAGCATCACGTAACCGATGATGGCGATGCTAGCACAGATGAGCATCAAGAGACCGCGACGCTTAAAGTGATCTGAGAGGGAAGTTACGAGGATTACGCTGAGGAATGCAGTCATGTTTGGGGGGACGGTTAGGAGGTTTGCTTAAGCGGGTTAGGGGTTAGGGGTTAGTCTATTTGAGAGTATTGTTTGGAGGGGAGATGAAAGAAAGGGGGCGAACTACCATTTACCCTCGTATACCCCAACGCAGTGATGATGGTCGGTAAGAAGAGCGAAAACGAATAGATGGGCGTGATGACGGCGAAAAAATTCAAAGAAAGTAGCCACGTGTTCCAGTTGAACACGGCGAGCTTCACCCAGTGCCAGTCAAATTTCTCATTGTCTATATTGGCCACAGGTGACGCGCCGCGGTAATCTAGTTTCATGCGATGGATTGCGAGGAATCGTTGTTCTTCGCTGAGGAATTTGGAATGAGAAGGGGTATGGGGCAGGAAGAAAATCGTCACAATGCCGAAGAGAAGCGTGATTCCGCCCTCGACGAAGAATATAAAAGGCCATCCGTTATACCCCTTTGTTTTGATCTCCGAGAGGCCCGTAGCGAGGAGACCTCCAAAGGCACCGGAGAGAGGCGCAGCGCAGTAGAAGAGTCCAATTCGTCGCATGAGTTGGTGGCGACGGTAGAACATGGCGAGGTAGATGATGATTCCGCCGAGGAGACCGCCTTCCATGAGACCGAGGAAGAATCGCGCGATGAGCAGGGATTTCCAGGTGGTGACAAATCCGATGCAGAGACTTATGAGGCCCCAGCCTATGATGAGGGCGGGGAGATAGTAGCCTGCGCCTATGCGTTTGACGAGCCAGTTTGAGGGGACTGGATTACGGTCAGAGTGCCGCTTAAGAGATTAAGTGATGATTAGTTAGGAGATTGACATACTATCAACGCAGATATAAGGAACGTAGAAGATAGCGAGCGCGATGTTAAATTTTGTTCCAGTCAGAATCCCCAAATCGGCAGCTAATCCATCGATTTTCGCATTGCCGATGTTGGAGCGGTCGATGAAAGCCAAGAGCCATAGGCCAAATAGCCAAGGAACGATGTGGCGATCGAATTTCTTGCTAATGAGCCGATCGAGGTCTTTTGAGATTTGGATTTCTTCATCTGGGGAAGTGGTGCCTGGGTTTTCGAGTTCAGCTACTGCAGATTTCTCGTCTCGGAGTTCTGAATTTGGGGAAGTAGAGATATTTTCTGGGGTTTCTGTACTCGTCGTCATGATTTGATTGGGTATCAGGAGATTGTCAAGTTACAGATGGGATTCGAAAGACGATTTGTAAAAATTATCGAAATGTAGAAATTTCTTCGGGGGATAATCTAGATTTGCTTTGTACATGTGGATTGTTGCACAGCAGATACGTGATCAGCTACAACATACGCTACGAATTCGGTGGCACCATATGTGTAAGTACCGATCAACGGTGCGAGTCCATATCTGGAGTATCCGGCATTTCAAAGGCGGGGAAGGAAGGTGATGTGCGGGTTAACCGGGGGGCCATGTAAAAATGAAGCTGCAAGAGTTGAGGTCGGCCAATGAGCATTCGGGGTGGTAGTTGCAGGATAAGAAATATGCAACATACCTTTTTGAGTAGTTATCTGTGCATATCTTGGTTAGACAATGATGGCTACCAGTACGTGTGATGAGATAGAGTGTGAAACCTATCTACAGAGCTTGAAACCTGTTCAATGATTGGAGGGAGGGATCGCACACCTCCTTCCCTAGCGATGAATGAGTTTCAATCATGTGATATTATCTATATTAAATCTTAAAGCCAATTAGAATCATTTGTGAGCTTTGTAAAATTCTGCTTTTGTATAAGAACTCGTGGATTTGAATACGTATTGGCATGGTACACATCTTTTTTTGTTCCTAGCTTGTTTCTGGTAACCCTTCACTACATATGATTCAAGCAATTTGTCCTATCATGTTGTTTGAGTCCAGATTTAGCAAGGTATGATTGTACCGAGGGAGAAAGTGCCATCTTTACCGAGTTTTGAAATGCCTAATTCGCACTACTGCTAATAGATTACTTTCAAAGGAGCTAATCTAAATGATGCAAGATGTTCAGATAAGTGACATGTAAGGATTTCTGGATGATCACGTTTTGGTCATACCGAAACGGTACACCATCTGTCACTTTACTGTTGAGGGGTTTTTCTTCGGGATTCTCCAATGCAACAACCTTCCATGAAACTCTTTGATCTCTCCCTAACAGACCCTGCAAAAGATAAGTACTGAAGTGAAGTATTTGCAAAAGTCTGGGAAGTCTAAGTGACTGAACCTTCATGCATCCTTCGAGCATGCAACGACACCTGCGGTGTTTTCCTCAAGAATCACCTGCAGAAGTCTGCGAAACTTGCAATGATCTGAGCAGACACGGATCCTCGAGCGTCTGCTCTTCTTTTCGATTGTTTTTCTGGCAGCATACTTCATAGATTCAAGACATCATGGACTCTCAATCTAGCCAGATTCAATCTCGAGATTGTGGAACCTTCTACCTCTGCCCAAGCGGTTATCTCTGTTATTGCCCAGCCAGTTTTGAGCTAAATTATTAAAAATTCCCATGCATTTTGCAAAGTTCTGATCAAAAACTCTTGTCCATTTCCCTGACATAAGTATGCTTAGTGTTATAACAATGACCTGGAAATAGTTGCCCGCAAGCTTTACATCCAAGAGAGATCTTCCAAAGTGTCAAAAAACAATCCTTGCTCGGAAGATCAAACACCGTAGACGCTTTCAAAATTCTCGCAACTTATTTTATTCTTCCCCTAGTCAGATAACCTCTAATATGCAGAGTCGGCATCGATATTACCAAAATGACAGGCGATATTACGGTGGACTATAATGTTTTCGTCTGGCGAGCTTCTACTCTCGATTTGAATCCATTTCGCTTTGATATACTTCATCTTTCCAGTCTCGACGAAGCCGACGTACGGTTAAGCTATAAGCTACAATGGGTTCAAATAACTCCATTCTTTCTCTGAGGAAAATTTTCCCTCTCATCTACTGTTGCGGGTTGAAAATCGGGGACTTCGCGTATCTCATCCTCCAGTACCTATAACATGATTAACGTTCGATGATTAAAATATCAAGCTAGAGAACTATCTTACTGTAAGCTCTGATGTCACTTCTGCGCTTCTGGTAAAAATAAACTTCTCCTCGTCTGCTATGAGTCTCTATTCGTCAAAAGACCCCCTACTGATATACTACAATACCTCCCGATGCTGTGTAGACATATTGAGATACATTTTGGCAATAGTCTTATTGATGTACTGCGAGGTATAATTAGCCGATAGCATTCTACTGGGTATTTCTTCATCCTTGACCCATGGGAAAATGAGGTCCAACTGGTTTTTAAAGGAATTCTTCAGGTTATCCCTCCGAGACGCACTTCATTCACGAAGATCGATGAGCACTAGTTTTAATTTCACCAGCTCTGCAAGGAAGGCTTCGAAGTCGATCATCTCTTCATCTTTATCCCTGTCGGTTTCTACAATAGGAGGCCTAGATGGCTTGGTGTTGTTGATAGTTGACGAGTCTTGAATTTTGAGATGAGAGTTTTGGTTTTGCGGCTAGAAGAACCGATAGTGAAACAAAATAGTAATGTAATTTGTGATGTTATTGATCACAAGATTGAGGGTGCATATAAGATGAAGTGTATCGCGTACAAGACCAGGAAGAAGACTTAGAAGAAGGAGGACAAATCAGATCTGAGGACAATTTGGTGGATCTGAGAAGTTAAAAGACTGGTTTCATCTCATGATATCTCATATTAGAATGAATCATGACTAAGTTGAATTGCATCTGCAGGCGGGATGAATAGATAGAATTTCATTTACCATCCAAGGGCTATTAGCTTTGTCTGCCTGGCTACAGAGAATCATCTTGTATAACAAGTATCACTTTTTTGCTAGCTTTGATTGATTTTGTAGGTGGCGTTCTTCTATTCTCCAGTTGATTTTCAAAGGCTGAAAAAATAAGAAATCAGTGATAAATAAGTCAAAAAGCAAGAACGAAACGCCAAATGCTGCTCGTGCTATAGTATAACGGTGCTAAACTTCTCTTCCGCTTGATGGATAGTGATTAGAATCATTGTATCTAAGACTGGGATAGGAAAGGGTGCTTGAAGTAGCATTTAGAGAACGGTTTAGTCGCAGGGCTCCACTAGAACTATGGCTTTGTGTGAGTAACTTATACTATTTTATGAAATAAAGTGATCTATTCTATGCAACAACTAATACATCTTCTCCGCGTGTTTGAATGCATGCTTTTGTCAAAAGTCTTAACAAACTTGTCTCCCCAATACATCCAGTGCCTGAGGATTTGGATCAATCTCCAAACTAAACTTTGCAAATTTTCCCTTCTCTCTCAAGGTCTTCCCGTACTTTATAAAAACATAAGGGCTAATGAGCCATAAAGTTGCAACTCCAGCTAGTATTGAGCCGGCAACATTCGAACCCAAGCCATTATACATTCGATCAGCAAACAGAGGGAATATACCAGAGAGAAGTGCTCGAAGAGTTGAGTATGCGGCGAAGGCGGAAGATGCATAGACAGTGTATGTCTGTATGTGTCAGTCAAGACTGAGCAGAAAAATAAGAGTAGGCAACTTACATCAGCTAGGTAATTTCCAAGTGCATACTCAATTTCATTCGCTGCAAATCCGGCACCTGCTAATCCTATCATCGGTACCACCCAGTCTATGCCATGGACTAAAGGTGGAGTTGTCCAAGCCATAAGCCAAAGGCCAGCTGCCAATGCTGATGCTCCGGTAGCAAAGCCAATTATTTTGTCTTCCGGTTCTAGTTCTTTCGTTTCTGCACGCTTCTTGAGATGAAAAAATTCTACCAACCTGACCGGAATACCAAAAATCATTCCTATAGCATATGCAATGAATGCTAACGAGTATGAAGTCTGGCTAAATCCATATGGTTTGAAGACGATATCCAACGACTCAGTGAAAAGAAACAGTAGAGAAAATGCTATAGCAGATAAGGTTGCCATTGTGAGGATGATGGGCTCCTGAAAGAATATTTTGGCTGGCTGAATGATGGCACTCTGACAAAAGGTATGGAAATCAGGGACATGGTCATCTGCTGTTTTTGTCCGGAGTTTCAGCGTTCCTGCACATGATTGTATAGCGATAAGAAGGTTCCCAAGAAGTTTGCTTGGGCGAGTCTCGGAGATGCCTAAGAGAAGAATACCAAGTATGCAGACAGAAACAATAGAGCCAATGTGATACAACCATCGCCTTTATTTGATCTTGAGTTAGCTTTGGGGTTCATTATCGAGAAATTGTAGGTGCATAATTTAGAATCAACTCACCAACCAAGTACGCTAGTGACGTAGGCTCCATATATCGGTCTATTCTATTAGTCAGTCGAGATTTTTTCAAAACTACTCCCCCCCCAGCAGTTCCTTATTTTAAGAGAGATTAGAGATTTTTGTCCGGGTTCACTTACCCTAGAGCAGCACCTAGTCCCGCAGATAGTACCCATGCATAGATTGCATGGCCTTGGGTCGCAGGTTCCCACATATCTTCTAGACTACCCACATTAATTGTTGAAGGAATCGATATCGTCGCACCCATGATAAAGCGGCCAATGTATACACCTGCAATAGAGGGTACAAGTCCTGTAATCATGCAGCTAAGCGGTAGCAAAAGAGCTGCAAATATGAGTATCGGTTTTCTTCCGAAAGCTTCTGAATATGGTGGAAAGATAATGCTTCCTAGAGCTCCACCAATTCCGTACCTATATAAACAGATGAGAAAGACCATTGTGAAAACCAATACTCAGTGTATACACTTACATAAGAGAAAAGGCAATAAGTGACTGGTTCTGTGAAATGCCATATTCTGTTGCTGCTTGCGTTGCTGCGACTAACTTTTGAAATTGTCAGTAAACACCATGTAAAAAAGGATTTTGGGAAACAAACACCCCCGGATTCTAGCAAAGCACTTTATTGGAACGAGTTAATTTTACGGGATTTCCAATTGACAATGGGGAATTACACACCCAAATGTATCAAGCAAGAAAATGCAAGCTGTGTTTGCCAGTTTTCGTTTCAAAGGCCAATTTCGAGGATGATTTTGATTTTTTGGAAGCCAATCGACGATATGATCGTCTGACAATTGGAGACCCAAATCATCGAGTTTTTGAAGTATGTTCGAGATTGAATCCACTCCTATAGGCAATGATGCCTCACTGAGGTTTGAAATAGCCAAGGGCTCTGTCGGCTTTTCATTATCTATCATGATGAATTTCTTTATCAAACAGATTTCTCAAAATATGCCAAGTCGCCAAAGAATGTGCAATCATGATGATAGCTGTTGAACTTCTTGGAAGTCTTGGTAGATATGGTGTACACAGCACTGACCCAACAGAGAAGGGTATATTGACGGAATAACACTAGTAAGACAATGCCATTTAAGGAGAATCTAGTGCTGTCGATCATCACATTTAGCATACACCGCCACTCTCCTGTATCGTGCAAATGATACTTGAGCAGGAGAGCTCACCTTCGAGGAAGAGATGAAGACTTCTTGAGCACTGTTCTGACATTGTCATGAACACCATCCGTTTGACACGTGTGTCAATTTCATACCGATACGCCGGCTCTTCTTGAACGGTCTTCTCCAACAAAAGTGGCGTAGGATTGACGAAAGTCCCACAATGACACAGACAAAACGAACTGTTTCAACTGCTTGGACATCTTTACTGACTCCAGACACCTAAAAAAAAAGGGCTAATTTGCCGCGCTAAAGCACGGCATTGTTAATGCCGGATCTGCTCACTAGAACGGACTCAATGCATCATAAGCTTCGGCCTTTATAGATGACTAATTTATCGAGTACCGATTGCTTTGATGTGTAAATAGGTATATGAAATCTTAGCGAATGGACGAATGAGATCCATACCAATTTGGTAATGTGATCCATATGAAACAAAACAAAAAAAGTATGGCCTGGGCTTTACTAAGATTGCGGATGCATAGAATACTGCGAGTCATACACTGTCTCGCCCTCCTATTCAAGGCATCTGAGATACTATGCCACTTCAGCTCGAACTGCATGCCACAATAGCTACACGCAATGAACATCAGCGAGAAAGAATATATTCAAAGGGTTTCGAAGCTTTTCGGTGACAGAGCTGTTGCCTGGAACAGAAATGTACATCATTTGTTGGAATATTGGGAACTTCTGAAACTCACAAACTTGTTCATTGCCAGAAGTAGAAGTCGCAGCAAGGTTTTCTTCCCAAAGAACCTAGGAAGACTTTGCGATCCGACTCATATCAAGGCTAGAAACCCGATAAATCATCGATGTCGATCTGTGCAATGAATCTAGAATACACCTGGATGTCGTGCAAATGAAAAAGATGTTGACGAAACAAGATTGGCGATACTAGAGACGCCATGAGTCCCAGTATAAGAATCATATATGAGGCATTTTGACCATGGCTTCACGTGAAACTCCAGCAATCCGTTTGCCTCTCTACCGAAAAGGTATGGACGTCTAGGTACAACTGTAATCAGAGTATAGATAGAAAGCTCAATCTTGACTCCATACTATGTTTCTTGCGAACCGCCCATCATACATTTTGCGATGAAGAAAATTTCGGATGGCGTAATGGACGACGACTTCCTATGTGGAACTGAAGGTGGAGGTGGAGTTCAGGTGTGGACCGTGGAGGTAATCTTCATCTCACCGCTTCCATGATCTATACGGGCAGAATATTACCAAAGGTGGGGATCGCAGGGATGGTCTTGTCGGCGTTCTGCTATTAAACAACCGACTCTACCTGAGTACTTCTGCAACCTTTCATCTCTTCTCATCTTGTCGTCCCTCCTTTGCTTGCTGACAATACGAAGATGTTATTCGACCTTCAATATCAGCTTACCATTCATCTCAGCCAAAGAACGAAGATGTTCGGATATTAGAGTGCACTCATTTGCTACCTCCTAAATCCGTTTCTGTCATTCTCTTGGCTGCCCCAGTTACCTGATATTGGCAAGGGTACAAAATGTCTCCATTCAAACATTTGCATCTCATTTGATGACGAGGATCAGCAAATACTTCTTTTGTAAGTGAAAAACCAGGTATATAGATGAAATCGAAGCCATATTCAATTGTTCACCGTCGATATGCTGCAATCATGCAGATGCCAAGAATGGGTAATCGCTCGCTACAAGTATTACGAGTATATGATGATGGTTATACCTTTCGTGCTATGAT